TTGAGACAAGGCAAAATCTCGATCTGTCGCCCAGGCTGGAGTGCAGTGGCGCGATCTCGGCTCAATGCAACTTCCGCATCCCTGTTCAACCGATTCTCTGGCCTCAGCCTCCTGAGTAGCTGGGATTACAGGTGAGTGCACCACGGCCAGCTAATTTTTGTACTTTTGATAGAGATGGGGTTTCGACATGTTGACCAGGCTGGTCTTGAACTCCTGACCTCAGGTGATCCACCCACCTCGGCCTCCCAAAGCGCTGGGATTGCAGGTATGAGCCACAGTGCCCGGCCAGATTTATTTAATGATATTTATTTGCCATTTATTTAATACAGTTATCTAATGCAGAGTCTTTATTCCAGTTTTTCCTATTGTCCCCCAAGTGCCGGTTTTTACATGTGTGTGAGAAAAGACTGTCTACCACTCAAAACTTAGATGCCACCGGGGACGGTGGCTTCACGCCTGTAATCCCAGAGCTCTGGAGAGGCCAAGGTGGGCGGAGTGCTTGAGTTCAGGAGTTCAATACCAGCCTGGGCAACATGCTGAAACCCCATCTCTACTGAAAATACAAAAAATCAGCTGGGCATGGTGGGGTGCACCTATAGTCCCAGCTAATCTGGAGACAGGTGGGAAACTCACTTGAGCCCGGGAGGTCGAGGTTCCAGTGAGCCAAGATTGCAACACTGCGTTCCAGCCTGGGGAACAAGAATGAGACCCTGTCTCAAAAAAACAAAAAGAAAAGAAAAAACACCTTGATGCAATGAAAGATTAATGCATTTGACTATATAAATTTTGTAACTTTTTCATGTCAAAAACCTCAATAAGCAAAGTCAAAAGACATCTGACACACTGGGAGAAAGTATTTGCAACATATATCAACATATATCATAACCCTAAGATATCAGGAACTCTTCACATTTGAAAGAGAAGGCCAGGTGAGTGACTCATGCCTGTAATCACAGCACTTCGGGTGGCCAAGGTGGGAGGAGTGCCTGAGCCCAGGAGTTTGAGACCAGCCTGGGCAAACTTGCAAGACTCTGTCTCTATGAAATATACAAAATTTGCTGAGCTTGGTGGTGCATGCCTGCAGTCCCAGCTACTGGGAGGCTGAATGGGGATGATTGCCCGATCCTGGGAAGTCGAGGCTGCAGTGAGTTACACTCCAGCCTGGGTGACAGAACAAGACATTGCCTCGAAAAAAAAAAGAAGAAGAGGAGGAGGAGGACGAGGAAGAAAATTTGAGAGGGAAAATGTGAAAACCAGATGGAAAACATGGGCAAAAAATATCAGCAAATAATTCATGAACAAAGATGTAGATGTGATCATTATATTTATGAAAAATGTTTGCTTCATTCACTATAGGCGAAATGCAAATTAAAGCTACACTCAAAATAAACATTCAGAGAAATATACAGTGAGAGAATGCACCCTTCGGAGTAACATAAAGCTATGCTCCTGAGGGGCTAACCTCATGCTTCGTGTGAAAACAAACTCTATACCTAACTATTAAAAAAAGAAGAGGCCGGGCACGGTGGCTAACGTCTGTAATCCCAGCACTTTGGGAAGCCGAGGTAAGTGGATCACGTGAGGTCAGGGGTTCAAGATCAGCCTGGCCAACATGGTGAAACCCCATTTCTACTAAAAATACAAAAAAAAATTAGCTAGGGGTGGTGGCATGTGCCTGTGGTCTCAGGTGCTGAGGAGGCTGAGGCAGGAAATTAGCTTGAACCCAGGAGGCAGAGGTTGCAGTAAGCCGAGATCGCGCCACTGCACTCCAGCCTGGGCGACAAAACGAGACTCCATCTCAAAAAGGAAAGAGAAGAAGAAAGAAATACACAGTGAAAACAGAGTGCATGTAAAAACTGGTGAAATCTGAATAAGGTCTGTAATTTAATTTTTTGATTTTTGTTTTCTTGGGTTGGAGACAGAGTCTCACTTTGTCGTCCGGGCTGGGATGCAGTGGTGCAGTCACAGCTCACTGCAGCCTCAACCTTTCAGGTTCAAGCGGTCCTCTCACGTAAGTCTCCCGGGTAGCTGGGATTACAGGCATGCACTACCACACCTGGCTAATTTTTTTGAATTTTTTTTGAAGAGACGGAGTCTTATTTTGTTGCTTGGCTGGTCTCAAACTCCTGGGCTCAAGCGATCCTCCCACCACGGCCTCCCAAAGTGCTGGAAGTCATAATTTAAAGTACCAAATTAGTTCGGGTGTGGTGATTCATGCCTATAATCCTAGCACTTTGGGAGGCCAAGGCAGGCAGATTACCTGAGCTCAGGAGTTCAAGCCTAGCCTGAGCAAGATGGCGAAACCCCATATCTACTAAAAATAAAAAAATAAAAAAAATTGGCTGGGCATGATGGTGCACCCCTGTAATCCCAGCTACTCAGGAGGCTGAGGCATGAGAATTGCTTGAACTTGAGAGTCGGAGATTGCAGTGAGCTGAGATTGCACCACTGCACTCCAGTGTAGGTAAGAGTCAGACCCTGTCTCAAAAAATTTTTAAAAGCCCACA